CCTGCACTGTGATCCACAAACACTCCTATTCTGCTGCTGATGGACACCACAGAGAGATCAGTCTGTATGTTATTGTGCCAGAATGAGTAACTGTCAGGAGAGCAGATCAAACTCCAGGACTGATCATTAGATCCAAACACACACTCATCACCCGCTCTCTTCCTGCTGATGCTCTTATATGACACTGATATAAACACATAATGATTTCCACTCCACTCAGTCTCCCAGTAACAGCGTCCACACACACTCTCTCTGCACAACACCTGATACTCATCAAATCTGTCTGGATGATCAGGATACAGCTGTTTCTCTTCCACACGTGTCACCTTTCTGTTCTCCTCAGACAGACTGAGTTCAGTGTGTGCTGTGTTTGGATCCAGTGTGAGAAAACAGCCATCTGAACACAAGAACAGAGACATTAATAACACAACAATCACTACAGCTGTGTGTGTGTGTGTGTGTGTGTGTGTGTGTGTGTGTGAGTGAGTGAGTGAGTGAGTGAGTGAGTGAGTGAGAGAGTGACAAAGAAGACCTAAGACATTTGAGCAACTAGAAGCCTGTATTAGACAAGAATGGGACAACATTCCTATTCCTAAACTTGAGCAACTTGTCTCCTCAGTCCCCAGACGTTTGCAGACTGTTATAAAAAGAAGAGGGGATGCCACACAGTGGTAAACATGGCCTTGTCCCAACTTTTTTGAGATGTGTTGATGCCATGAAATTTAAAATCAACTTATTTTTCCCTTAAAATTATAAATTTTCTCAGTTTAAACATTTGATATGTCATCTATGTTGTATTCTGAATAAAATATTGACATTTGAAACTTCCACATCATTGCATTCTGTTTTTATTCACAATTTGTACAGTGTCCCAACTTTTTTGGAATCGGGTTTGTACATAAATGTTTTATATATACTGTATATATATTTGTGAAGTTGAGTGTTTTTGAAAAGAAAATAAGAAAATGGATAAAGTTCAAAAATAAAACTCATTTAGAATGGTTATTTAATTAAACAAGTGAATATTATTGACTCAATTAGATGAACAGAATTACTGCCTTAATGGGCGGTACTAGGAGAGACAAATATAGCTTACAGTCGTATTAGAGAAATAAGAGAGAGAGATTTTGAGATAAAGTTATGGATTGAACGTCATTAGTCAATGATCACGAGTGGATGTTAGCGTGGATGCTTCAAAGGACAACAAATAGTTCTCAAAGTTAAAGTTCGTAAAAAAAATTTTGGAATCCTTCTAACTAAATCAATTTCTCTTGTTAAGTGGGCTAAATTAATTCTCAATTATTGAGTTTTTGAGAATGTAAATGGTGTTCATATATTAAATGTTGCCGTGTTATATTCATGTTGTATTGTAAAAGACAGATAAAATTTAATCTTCTGTTTGAAATAAGAAGAATATTAAGTGAATGTGTTAAATAACTAGTGTATCAAGATTGAGAGCTACTTTGAAGATGTTTATGAGCCTCATATTATTTGTTGCGTCCAGGGGCGGATTTAGTGAATTGGAGGCCCCAGGCAAAATATAGGAATGGGGCCCTATACATTTGCACACGTTTTCCTAGATCAACCTTGAGGTTCCATTTTGTTGTTTTCAGCGTAAGCCTGTGTGCAAAGGCTGTCTAATTCTAAACTTTAAAATACATTTATTTTGAGTTGTTTTAACTACAAATTTAAATAAAACTGAAAAAAATAATGAAAGTGCAATTATACATTTACACACCTAAAATACATATATCAAGAGCATGCTCACAGATGAGAACAGCATTGGATGAAGTGGATTAAAGCCATGCACGGGTCTCAAATATAGGCCCTAGCCCATTTTTTTCCCCTTTTCCCAAAAAAAGATTATACTACTGTTTCAGCTATTAAAATAGTTCAGTTTTGTATGTAATGGAAAAGTGATTATATTTTGTTTTATTTTTTTATAAAGTAAATTTAGAAAAACATTTGGAGTATTTTTTGTTCGTTAAATGTGTTTTTTGTTTTTTTTTTTAAGTAAAGGCCAGCGGCAGACAGTGAATTGATCATAGCCTATTGCCAATGTTTGATCATTTTAGGCTTCTCAAATCATCAGGACTTGCCTAAAGTATAATCTATATATAAAACAGTTCAAGTATATCACAATGTTAGTTTAAATGTTTAGCCTATATAAATGTGCGCTGTTAGACGCATATCCAATTAATCGCCAGCGTGATCGCTTGCATTTTTTTCTAACAGCGGAAACAACTTAAAATACGCAGTCATTTATGCTCATAAAGGTAAGAGTAATACATCATTCTAAACCATAAAGGGTCTAGTTTTATTTGTGTGCACTCACAATATCAACAAAACGTGCTTTTATAAAATAAAGAAAACAGATGCTTTCTGCCGTCTCGGTCTTGAACAGGAGCGCTTCACAGTGATGAACCTAAACTCAGACATGATACAAATATATAGAAAGCTTTAAATTACTACTTTAAAACGAAATAATTCAAATCGAAAATAGACTCCTAATGAAATTAACTCTTTCATTATGTAATCCGTGCATTTCTCTCTAAAGGCACATCCAGTTAGGAGATGGCCAGTAATTTTTTCATCACTATAATTGATGGAAGGCCCGATTATAATTTGCGTTTTATTTATAATTCTGTACAGTTAAAAAATAAAACACTAATTATAATGGCATATATGTAAAACTTTGTCCTATAATTGTATAGCTGCTCTTTCTGATTTTTATGTTGCTCTGTTCTGAATACCTTAAAATTTAAAGGATTTGCTGCAACGCAATTTTGTATGATATGTTAATTATTTATATTTTTTATCCATGCAGCAAATGCTTTGTAGAGAATCAGCTCACGGGGAAATATGAATAATTAATCATAACTAGTTATAATTAATTATAAATATTTAGATCCGCTGTAAGTATTTACTTGAGTCAGGGTCAACTGTCTGTCAATTCTAAGAACGTTAATTTCCTGGTTAAGGGAAATAACTTTCTTACTGTACAATTCTACACAGAGCCTGTAGCATAAATCTGCATGATTAAGGGACTCCAGTTATGAGCAAACAATGAACAACGTCGAGTGTGATACAAGTAAGACTTATAAATAAGTAATTATTTTATTTTTTGACTTAATCTTTTCAGCTGACAGTTGTCAGTGATCAGTCAGTGTTAATGGACTCAAGTATCTGTGCAGCATCTGAAGGACTGGAAAAGGTCATTCATAATAAATAAAATAAATAAATTAAATTCATAATAAATTTGAACAATCCCTGAATCCGTTGTCTGCAGTAGAATGCTTATTTATTTTTTATTTCCGTTTCCTTAATTTCAGGTGACTCCGAAGAAGGACCGGTTTACGATTGGATGATCAGGACTGTGTTGAGAATGTACTAAAATGTGCATTGCATAATTTTAGAAAATGCTAGATCGATGTTCATCTCTACATGAGCCTTCATTGTTTTATTGTTTTCAGATGTCACCTGTCAAAGAGCATGTGTTAAATGAGGAGCAGAGCTTTTGTGCCCCCGCTGAAGGAGGTATTGAGGTATTCACATTTCGGATGAGCTGTTATTTCAGTGCAACAGTGAATGCTCTGACGTCCATCTCTGCATGGCCTGTGATATACTTAGGGGGGAAAAAAAGCTGTAACAAAAAGTATTTAATTAATGACCTGTTTTCACTTTCAGTAATATTAGTCGATGTCTAAATCAGGGGTGCCCAAACTCGGTCCTGGAGGGCTGGTGTCCTGCAGAGTTTAGCTCCAACTTGCCTCAACACACCTGCTGGTAAGTTTCTAGTATGCCTAGTAAGAGCTTGAGCCTATAGCCTTAGTAATCCTGAAGACATTGATTAGCTTGTTCAGGTGTGTCTGATTAAGGTTGGAGCTGAATTCTGCAGGACTGCGGCTCTCTAGGACCGAACTTGCCTACCCCTGGTCTAGTAAGAGCTTGATTAGCTGGTTCAGGTGTGTTTAACTGGGGTTGGAGCTAAACTCTTCAGGACACTGGCCCTCCAGGACAGTCTGGACACCCCTGGTCTAAATAAAGATTTGTAGTAATATATTAACCAGAACCTTTTAAGGTCTGTAACGTAAATGTTATTTAATGATTGTAAGTGATCTTATTAACTAAATGACCACAACTTCCCTTCCACTAAAAATACATTAAATGATTATTGAAAGACAATGTAGCTCGTAATGTAGTATCACATGTATGTTTTAGGATCTTTCTTTTTTGCTGTAATTTCACATTCACTGATGTTTTTTTTCTTCACAGGTCTGCATAAATGTTGTGGTCACTTCAGCAATATCAAGCATGGATAAATGTGCTGAATGTGTGGGACCTGTAGCAGCACTGAAGTGGTTTGGCCTGAGATGTAAATGTTAGTATGATGTCTTGTACTATATGCAGCATGACATGTCTTAATTCATTTTAGTATTACTAATTTATGTTATGAATTCCGCTCAAAATTGTATAACTGTTGAAGTTGGTGATCAGTAGGAGATATCGGACCATTGCTTATGCACATGTATGTAATACCATTAATAATAATAGGGGTGTAATATTGTTTTCACCTTATTCTACATTTAGATATGTCAGGACATGTTCAACTGCTAACAGAAATTCTATATGACATTTCTCTCATAGTGTGCTCCAGTTTTTGGCACAAGTCCTGCTATTCGAAGCTTCATGAATGGAATGGAAAACAGTCATCGTGGGTAAGAAAA